GATGGTGAAGACAAGTGACTGGACGACTAGCTACCCCAACCTCGTGCATCTCTGGGTGGCAGTCGCAGTGCTTCCGCTGAGCACAGTGGAATGTGAGCGCAGGTTTTCCCGCCAGAATATCATCAAGTCATGGCAGCGTGGGAGCCTCAAAGACGCACGGCTTGAAGATCTCGTCACAATGTCGCTCCTCGACTACGAGCCCGACTACAACGAACTGGTGAACATCTGGCGCAGCTACAAGAAGCGCCGGCCATTTGGAAATGTGGCAGCAGCAGCAGCAGCAGCAGCAACACCTGCAGCAAGAGAGGGGGAGGGAAGTGGCAGGGGAAAGGAGGCACTTGAGGAGTGGGAAGAACCCAAGGTGCAGGGGAGTGATGATGAAGACTTTGATTCCGATGCTGAAGGACGCATGACCCCTATTAGATAAGAGCAGCTAGTCTGTTCTAGGTAGGAAGGAAGCTACTGTCTTCCTGTGCTTAAAACCAGGACGTTTAATAGCTACAGCTTTTTTAATTTTGAAACCCTGATGGATCAGACTCTAAATTAGGACAACACTGTCATTTCAGCCTTTTTTTCTTGGTAACACTGTCAATCAGTGTTTACACACAAGGGGACACTGATGGGTATACGACCCTTAAAGTGAATCTGAGGGCCTGCTAGCTACAGTTGTTTCGCTGTGTGGATCAGATTCACTTTAAGGGTCGTATACCCATCAGTGTCCCCTTGTGTGTAAACACTGATTGACAGTGTTACCAAGAAAAAAAGGCTGAAATGACAGTGTTGTCCTAATTTAGAGTCTGATCCATCAGGGTTTCAAAATTAAAAAAGCTGTAGCTATTAAACGTCCTGGTTTTCAGCACAGGAAGACAGTAGCTTCCTTCCTACCTAGAACAGACTAGCTGCTCTTATCTAATAGGGGTCATGCGTCCTTCAGCATCGGAATCAAAGTCTTCATCATCACTCCCCTGCACCTTGGGTTCTTCCCACTCCTCAAGTGCCTCCTTTCCCCTGCCACTTCCCTCCCCCTCTCTTGCTGCAGGTGTTGCTGCTGCTGCTGCTGCTGCTGCCACATTTCCAAATGGCCGGCGCTTCTTGTAGCTGCGCCAGATGTTCACCAGTTCGTTGTAGTCGGGCTCGTAGTCGAGGAGCGACATTGTGACGAGATCTTCAAGCCGTGCGTCTTTGAGGCTCCCACGCTGCCATGACTTGATGATATTCTGGCGGGAAAACCTGCGCTCACATTCCACTGTGCTCAGCGGAAGCACTGCGACTGCCACCCAGAGATGCACGAGGTTGGGGTAGCTAGTCGTCCAGTCACTTGTCTTCAGCATCGCTGTTAGACCGGCGTGGAAGCTTCGCTCGTTCTTCGGGGCACCTGCAAGGATGGGGCAGAAGGCACGCAGTTCTTTGATCGCCCGCCGTTTGTCGATCCCTGCCACACAACACAGAAGGGGGGTTGTCAGCTAGCTTGGATGGCGTGGCATGGTATACCCGTGTACAGAAAGCACTGCTGAACCATATTATCAAAGAGACATAATGGACAACACGGGTTTAGAGTAAGCGTGTACCTGGAAGGATGTGATCACTCTCCTGTGCCCTGAACAGCGAGACGAGTGACATGAGCCACTCGAGACACTGTTTGTGGCGCTCCGTTCTCCCCGCCGTGCTGTACTCGTCTGGCATGAAGAGCCTCACTCCCACAAGGGAGTCCAAGTCTGCAAACCTGTTGCTGAGGTTTTTGACGAGCATCTCGGCAAAAGTGGTGCAGAGGTCGACGCAGTTGTCGTGTGTTCCAAGTGTTGGGTAGTCCTCGCTTGGCTTCTCATGCAGATGGAACTTGTGTGTTGTCGGGCGACCGTCAGAGTCCACACCCTGCACCGTCACCTCGGGCTTGTCACTGTCAGGCCCGTACTTCTTGATGAACGGGGACAGGCGCGCGCTCAACCCGCCTCCAAAATCGTCACCGCAGTCGACGTAGCGGGTCTCCAGGTGAGACAAGGTTCTCCTGATCTGTGCATGGACACCTGCGATGTCGAGCTATGAGAGGGGGTCAGAGTATGCACAGAGCGACAAAAGGAAAGACAGCCAGATGGGTGATAGTTCAATCAATGCATGTTCTGCTTAAGCTGGAACAATGTCAACGCATTGTCATAGACACACGGCACATTAAAGAGACGAATTGACACGAAAACTATAAGTAGAAATCAAGAGAGTTGCTGCAAAGTTTGAGAGGACTTGTGGCTCACCTCACGCTGCTGGAACGACTTGTTCAAGATGTTCAGCTGCTCGAGCACGTCTGCAAGGAAGAACAGCAAGAAATGGAACCTGTAGCTGGTGGCGAGCTCGTACAGAGTTTCGTCCCACTCGTACAGCATGACGAGTAGCGCTGGGAAGACCGTCACCGTTCGCAAAACGGCATCACCCCTGCTCAGCCAGCGGACTTGATGGATGCCTTGAAGCTCCAGGTTCGTAGCAGTGAAGAGTTCCTGGAGCTCCAGAAATCGTTGGTGCCAGGGGCTGGAACGGCCGAGATACTCGGCCACTTGACGGATCAGCCCGTCCACCATGTCAAACTCGGGGATTGCCTCCGCTGCATCTTTTGCCGCGAGGGCCTCCCTGCAGGCACAACACAAGACAAACATGCCACGGTGGGGTTTAGGGTAAGCATGAACGAGATTCGGAAAGGCAAGGGTGCCGCGGGTACTTATGTGGAAAGTACCTGTGAGCAACGCAGTGGCTTGAGACGAGATGCGGTATGCGGATGCGCAGACGAGCGACAAGACCATTCTTGTGTCCCATCATCACACTCGCGCCATCGGTGCTCATTCCAGCGATCTTGCCAAGCTCGATGCCGAGGGCCTGCAGGTGGGACAGAAACACTGCGAGGAGAGAGGCGGCGTCGCACTTCTCCACGGTCAGCAACGCAAGGAATTCAGTGACGACGCGATTCTCACGGATGAACGTCGCGAAAATGATCAAGTGCTTTCCCCTGCACCTGTCCGTGCTCTCGTCACAGGTAACACCGATGAAAGGACTTGTAAGGAGGTGCTGGAGTTGAGTTGTGTGCAACCACGTGGCAATCGCTTGTGTTAGTTGCCCAAATCCGTACCTGCGCGCAAGGTTAGTCAATGTTAGACATTACAAAATAGAGAATATAAGAGCAACAACACAAGCACAAGGTAACACCTAGTACCTTACGTTGTGTAGTAGGTTCCGTAACCTTTCGCAGGGAATCCCGGAACCTTCTTCGCGCCGAGATACCGAACAAGTTGCACCCATAACTCAATGGGTGCATCTTGCTTGGTAACGAAGAGCAGGGAGTCGCACAGCTCGATGACGCGCTCCCTCTCGGTGTCGCGAGCGAGGTTGTCAGCGTTGATCCGTGGCTGCCGGCCAGCTTCAGCAAGAAGCTTCTCCTGGTGCTTGACCGCCTCCTTGTGCTTCGTGGTAGCTGCGTGTCGCTTGAAAGCTTGAGTCTGAACGTCCGAGGCACCCCTTCCACCCCTCCCGCACTTTCCTGCGTAACCTGCATGCTCGGTACAGATAGAGCATTTGAATGCTAGGAGACCATCACTTTGCCGCAAGAGGATGAGCCATGAAAACCTGTCTAGCCACTCGGTTTTGTACTTATACAGAGACTCGGCGTAAATCGAATCACGGGAAAATTGCTTAGAGGGACCAGGAACCGAAGGCGCCTCCTGCGGGCCGGCAATCACGGGCGACGATCGTTGGTCGGCTGGCGGAGGCGTGGTTGCACCGTCGTCAACACCCTTTGTCAACCAGGGTATCGTTGACTGCAGATATCGGCCTGATTTTTTGCTAACGGCTTCGGGAGTCGGTTTTCCAGCTGGAGGCGGCGAGCTGTCCTGCTCCGTGACTGGCGCTGTCGGGGATGCACACCAGTCCTCCGGATCGATGTGCTCAAACGGGATTTTGTCGGGCGGATCTTGTTCTCGTGGCTTCTCGGTGTGGGCTACTTCCGCTATGCTAGAAAATAATAAATCAAGGCCGGTAACTGCATCAGAACGGACTAGTTGCGGCTGGCGGTGCGAATCATCACCCTGTTCGCCGCTTGTTTCCGTGCCGTCAGGCGGTTCTAACATAGTAAGCAGCGGGGACGCCCTCCCCTCTAAGCTAGTAACGCGTGCAGAGCAGATGCGGGGGACTGCACAGGCAAAGACAAAGCCACGGCTGGCTGACTCTTGGTACACTAGGAAGAAAGGGGCAAACCTAGCTACGGATGCAAAGGTTGGAGAAGAAAGGGGTTGATGGCGGGAACGGTGCATGGGCTGGGCGGCGTGGAAGCCTTGACGGTTGGAAGGATGGCAGAGTGCTTGCCAGCACTGCCCGTTCCTAACGCGTCGCAGGTGATGGCAATGGGCCATGAACCTTGCCAGCCCTCCAGCACAATAGCCAGCCCACGTTCGGATTGGCCAAGAGTTGATGCTGCAGTGACACGGCCCAATGGTGTGAGGCGCCGCGCCAAAAATACACCTCCCAACGTGCACCTGTGGTAAAAAATCCCAGGTTGGACTCGCCACGCGGTGCGAAACTCGGCGGGAATCCGAGATTCCCTGTAATTGGGGTCACATCCATACGATGCAGATAAGATTCGCTTTCAGTGTTCGGTTCGTTACAACGTTGTGGCATCAGTGTAACATCCAGAAAAAAAACTGAAATATCAGTGTGGCCTAAAACAAAAGCCTGGAAAATCAGTCCCAAAAAAATATCAACACGGAGATTTCAGGGTAGGTTAAAAATGGGGTGCCAAAATCAGGAATTTCAGGAATTTTTTCCTGATATATGAGGCCCTGGTTCCAAGTCGCTTACTTCACCCTTCCAGTTTAAAAAATACTGAATTGCATTCTTGGAAGTTCTGCTGAAATTTTAGGGACGCAGAGTCTCAAAGATTCTTCTGGTCTGAATACGTGATTCTTATTTTTTTTAGAAGGCAATGCTAATGGTGTTTCCGTCTTTGCTAATTTGTGTACCTACAGTGCATGGAGCCGGTGGAGAAGTGCATCAAGGACTCGGGGTTGAGCAAGCATCAGATCCACGACGTGGTGCTCGTCGGTGGGTCCACACGTATCCCTAAGGTGCAGCTGCTCCTGCAGGAGTGTCTCAACGGCAAGGAGCTCTGCAAGAGCATCAACCCCGACGAGGCCGTCGCGTCCGGTGCGGTCGTGCAAGCGGCTATCCTCAGCGGCGAGAAGGTGCAGGACCTGGTGCTGCGCGTTGTCACGCCTCTGTCCCTGGGTCTTGAATCTTACGATGAGGTCATGAACGTTATCATTCGCAGGAACACCGCGATTCCCACCAGAAAGGAGCAGGTGTTTTCCGGCAACCAGTCTGGTGCGTTGATCCAGGTGTTCGAGGGTGAGCTCCCCGAGACCGAAGATAACCGTCTGCTCGGCAAATTCGACCTGTCCAGCATCCCCCCTGCTCCTCAGATCACCGTTTGTTTCGACACTGATGCCGACGGTATCTTGAACGTCAGCACCGAGGACAAGACTACCAGCCAGAATAATAAGATTACGATTGACAAGGGCCGGCTGAACGAGGCCGAGATTGCGAAGATGGTTCACGATGCGGGGAGGTACAATGCTGAGGACTTGCGGGACAAGAGGAAGGTGAAGGCAAAGAACTAGCTCATGACGTATACGTACGACATTAAAAACATGATGACGAGGGATGACACAATCACATGTGATCTCAACGCCAGGGACAGATATAAGATCGAGGATGCTGTCGAGATGACAATCGAGTGGCTCGCACGGACCCCGATGGCCGAGGCATATGAATATGAAGACAGGATGAAGTGGCTGCAAGGTATCTGCAGCCCTTTCATTGCTGTGATCTGATGTTCTAGAGAGCTGGACTCTGGGAGGCTGGAGGTGCTCCTCCTGAGGCGGACATAAATGGCGCTGGTGTTGGTTCTAACAGTGGTGCTTCGGGTCGGGTGGTCAGCTTGGCCCGAAGACCGAGGAGGTCGACTAATTTAATAATCGTGTTGATTGTTGTTGTCAACACCTTTGCTGTAATCCTAACTGGATGTTTCAGCTTCCAAAAACCAAAAGTTAAAACCCACGGCCAACGCTCAGCCCTCTTTTGCTCATTAGCTTTGAAAATATAATTAAGACAACACACATCGTCACTGGTACAGTATCGTGTCTGTTTGAGCCTACCGTCATCGCTTGGATATAAGACATATATGTCTTATCTCGTACACGGGCAAAAATGCTTGAGTTATCTTGTAAACGGGATGGTTTAGGGTGTCTTATAAGTCTTATAAATGGAAATTTTTTTAAGTTGACTGTAACACTTGCCAAGTGTGTAGAAAACACCCAAAGACCAGATTCATTGAAACAGGCCGACCTCGGTGGTGATGCATGCAGCGCCCACACTTGCCACGTGAGGGAGCTGCCATCGCTGGCTATATTCCTCTGTGCTGGCAGCATCTAATGATGCTGCCAGCGTCGTTTTGCTGCCAGCAGCGCAAGGATGCTTCCAGAATGCTGCTGGCAGCACGTTGGCAGCGTGAGGGCTGTCCTCTACGAGGAGATGCCTCGTAGAGGAGCGGCTCGGCACCTGTGGATGGGGCACTCTGGCTGGGGGGGGGTAGTCGGCCTCTCACTTCATTTGGTGCTCAAGGGTTTAGGAATACTCGTCTCAACCTTGCTCTCGGCAGGCTTTCTAACCATGCGCAGCAAAGTACCCCCAGGCTCGTCCTCTCCTCGTCCTCACGTGCAGGTAAATAACTACGGGCGAATTAACTCGCCCGGCGATGACATCCGTGTAGCCTTGGCGAAGAACGCGAGCAAGGCGGGAAGTCCTACCGCGGCCTCCGGTGCGAGCTTTGACGGGGACGACGGAGAAGAAGCAAACGGCGACGACGCCGAGGAGGATTGACCGGAGAACGGCCACGACGACAGTGCTTCGGGTGACGAATTAGGTCCTGCCGACATCGAGGAGGACGAATGGTGGAATCGGCCGGTCGGGAGCGACCACGAGGTGGAAGAGTGGCGGGCTGGAGATTTGGACAACGACGAAGGTGAAAATGCGGGGAGAAGCTGCGGCTGTGGGTGTGGTTCAAGATGAAGAACGTCCCCAACTGTGAGATTCCGGAAGGTAAGCGTAATGAATTCAACCGTGCTACTGCCTGATGAGCGTGCCCCACTGTGCTGAAGCCCGTCTGTCCCTTGTGTGCCTGGCAGGAATCGTGGTCCAAGCACAGGACAACGGGTGGATGGACGAGAGCGCTGTGCAGACCTGGCTGTCCAACGAGGTGCTGCCCCATCTGAACCCCCAGCGCGGCCAAAACGCGAGGCGTGCGATGCTGGTGTTGGACTCCTACCGCGGTCACATCACCCAGACCATGCTTCAGTCGTACCGCACGCACAGCATCACCCTTGCAGTCATCCCAGCGGGTTGTACGAGCCAGATTCAACCCCTGGACGTCTCAATCAACCGGTGCTTCAAGGCTGCTGTGCGAGCGCGCTACGCCAGGTGGTTCATGCGTGAGGGGATTCACCTGAAGACGAAGAAGGGTGAGTTGGTCCTTCATTTACGGTATTATTCATATTCTGTTTCCTGTCCTTGTCTTAAACATGCTCCTTCATGTCCGTGTCTCTAACATCTCGCTGCCCCGTCCTCAAACCCTTCCGCAGGGAACCTGCAGAGGCCGCCCCACCCCGTGGTGCTGCAGTGGATCGCGGAGGCTTGGGATCAAGTCCCCAAGCAGATCATCATCGACGCGTTCCGCCACTGTGGGATCTCAAGCAAGCTGGACGGAACGGAGAACCACCTGGTGATGTCTCACATGCGCGCCAGGAGCACCACTGATGTCTCCGCGGACATGTCCGTCGGGGGGACCACAGGCGACAACACGCGCCTGCTCGGTCGGGCTCCAGAGGAGGAGGAGGAGGAGGAGGCGATGCAGGCGGAGGGCGTGCGGGAGGTGGCAGTGGCAACCGGCCTGGAGGTGCTGTACCAGGAGACCCCCAACTACCGCGGGGCGGCGGCCGAGGCTGACCGCATGATCGAGCCTAGGGAGACGGCTAGGCATGCCTGACGAGTGCCAGACCTGGGTGTAGAGCCTGTTGTTAGCGCAAGCGAGGAGGCGGTGACTGAGGGGGGTTAGGTAGAAGTAGAGATTCATGAATGTATGCATGTACCCCCCTAAAGTAAAGAAGGCTCGTTTAGAAGACACCCCCTGTTTATAAGAGACACCCCGGTTTTGATTATAAGACATATGTCTTAACTCGTACACACAAATAGGTGTCGTATAAAAAGGCTAGCCTGTTTATAAGAGACACCCGTATAGTAGACAACCCCTGTCTACTATTCAACACTGTCTTATATCCGAGTGATGACGGTATGGTTAATGAGGCTCTTGGCAAGACAGGAATTATTTACACACCATTCTGGCGTCAAAAATACCCTCTCCAGCAAATTGTTGCCTTTCAAGCTGGGTGATGGATCTTCAAGAGCACGCACTAGTGCCTTCGCCTACAACTTGAACTGGCTACTGACTTAACATCCATGGAGAGGGCCAAGGCAGGACAGAATGCATCATCACACTTATGTACACACTACCTCTCACTGTTGGACACCTTTCTCTTAAGCCTATGATTGTCATTTTCCAGGCATGAAACTTTAACTTCCAGCGCGGACACCTGTGCTTCCAGTGAAGATATTATTTGGTCTTTTGCCAGCAACTCCGACTGGCAATTCATTCTGCAACCATGTACGGCAAGGGAAGGCAGATTGGCAAACAAGAGACAGATTGAGTGCCCATGTCCATGGAGCAGAAACAAGCAAACATGACAGGAAGCGAGTGCAGCTAGCTGCAAAAAAAATGCGGAAAATGGTTGCACAAGTGAGCACCGTACAGTTGGGTCATGGCTCGCTCAAATCGCAGCTGAAGCCGCAGCAGCGCCCGCAACTCGTGTGATGACGATTCCCCCTTAGAAGCTGAACCACCCGCACCCCAACCCCACCGGAAACCACTCCATATGTCCTCCTGTGGCCCCAATCTCTGCCCCTTTATTCCATTTCTCCCACCATCACCTCTCGCACTCGACTCTTGCATTGTCAATCCCCCTCTGAAACTCCCATTTCTGTCATCCAGTCTTCCTGTATCCCATCCTGTCCCCCCCTCACCCTGCCTCCACATCTCCCCTGTTCTGCGCCCATCCATCTCTACACTGTCACCATCAGCCTGCTTATCATTGTCTCTGCACCTCCTCTCAAGCTCCTGCATAAAATGGCATCTCTCACTCCTGTCCTTCCCCCCTTCTCTTCCTCTCCCTCCTCCTATTTCCCCCGCATCTCCCACAATCTCCCCACCATCCACAGCTGCCTTGCCAGATCGCCCACCAGGCAACCCCAATCCTCTGGAGCGGGCAGCATGACATGCTCCTCCTGACATGCCTGGGGTTGGAGAGAGCTCGCTCCATGTGAGCATGGGGGGTGTGACTGTATGGGGAGGAGAGGATGGAAGGGATGAACACCCGACAGGGTACTTCGATGTGGGGGACACAGCAGCTGTTGCGGATTCGTTTCCGGGATGCAGAGCAGTGACAGTGGGGACTATGGAGGCACTGGCTGTAAGGGCACTTGCTGAGGGTAGCGTGAAAGATCGACACACTGATTCTATTGCTGCTGCTTCAGTTGCCGAGCCTCCTCTCAGAGATGTTTCTACTGGTGGTGCAGATACCCTTGACGGTGCATCCATGCGCAATCTTCCCTCCGAATTACCATTCCCGTGTATCTGCTGGTGCATGGCAGAGGCCAGCTTGCCTCTACTCCCATCAGCCTCTGAAACATCACCCTCTGCTGCCTGACAGGATCCATTCATTCCCTCTCCCCATCTCCCCACTCCCTCCCTCTCCACACCCCCCTCACCCTCTCGTTGACCAATCCTTCCCGAGTCACTCCAAACAGCGTCCTCCCTAGCTTCATAACCCCTTCCTCCCATCCTTCCATCCTCCTCCTCTTCCTCCTCCTCGAATCCCCCCTCTTCAAAGAATCCCACCACACCAGCGAACCCAGAGGCATGCCCCAACCCTCGGGATTCTGCCAGCACTGCCAGCAGCGACGGCTCAAAGTCAGAAGCATCAGAGGGAAAGGAATCAGCTGCTCCTGTCGTACAGTGATCCGTGGCAACTTCTCGTGGTACAGCCTTGCCTTGAATACAGCTTCGGCCTTCAATGCAGTGAGCTACGCCTGCAGTGCTATTCCGGTCAGCTGCTGCTGCTGCTGCTTTTGCCGCTGCTGCTGATGGTGGTGATGGTGCTGCTGATGCTGTTGCTGCGTCTGCTGCTGCTGTTGATAATGAGGATACCTGTATGCTAGATCCGATTTCCAAAGGGTGGTGCTCACATGCTGTAACGCACACTGCGCCTTCAGGTGACTGTTCAGGAGCTTGTTCAGGTGGTTCACATGCAGCCTCTCCATGCCACGCCACACCATTCCCCCCACTCACATCGTTTCTGTAGCTGCTACAGCCGTCACTCCTGACACCACTGCTGCCGCTACAGGTAGCACCTGTATCCTCTGAACCACCTGCTGCTGCTGGCATGTGCCTCCCATCTGTACCAACAGCAATAGCTGCTGTAGCCGCAGCTACCGTAACCACAGCTGATCCCTCTGCAACCGTGGTCACATCAGCAGCGCCTGCTGTTGCATCAGCATGTGGTGACGAAGATAGCCTGGCGAGTCGAGCTGCAATGGCAGCAACAGTGGGGGGTCTGCCTCTATACGTGGGAGTGGAGCCTGCTATAACGGGAGTAGAGCCTGCTGTGAACAAAGGGGTGGATGCCGCTAGCATGGGCGTCGCAAACGCCGAACCCGGCGTTCCCCAGTCGTTGTCCGAGCAGAGGGATAGGAACGAATCGGAACGCGGCGAGTCAAATGCACCGTCGTCATCAGACAGCGAATCACAGTGTGCCAGCTCAGCTGCCCCTCTGACAGCACGAGCAGAACCAGCCACAACCCTTACAGCAGTGACAGATGCAGCAGTCATGGAACCTGCAGGTGAACCATCAGGTGCCATGGCAAGGGAAGTAGAAGCAGCAGCATTACCTGCTACCTGTCCCTGCTCTGCTACCTGCCCCTGCCCTGCTAGCTGCCCCCCCTCCATGACCCACTGTGCCACCCGTGGATCGTGTGCCTTCTGTGAGTGCTGCCCTTGCATCTGCTGCTGCGGCTGCTGCCGCTGCACCTGCCCCTGGTGCTGCTGCTGCTGCTGCTGCTGCTGCTGCTGCTGCTGCTGCTGCTGCTGCTGCTGCTGCTGCTGCTGCTGCTGCTGCTGCTGCTGTTGGTGCTGCTGGTGTGGCCTCGATTCAGTCCTATTCGCAGACGAAGTGGGGGGGTTGGCGGTGAGGGTAGGGGTGGGGCTGGTGATGGTGGTGGCGAGGGGATGATTTGCAGGGCGGGCAGGGGGAGACGAGCCTGGGCGCTGATGGTACGAGGATGAGGGAATAGAGCGTGCGCCATGAGAGGATGGAAAATCAGATGGTAGGTGGGACGGTGGGTGGGATGGTGGGTGAGAAGGTGGATCGGATTGTAGGTGGGGTGGTGCGAGCGGTGGAGGATACATTGGAATGGCATGGCCTTGTTGGATCATGCGTGACTGTTGGAGAGACGAGGAGGTGGGATGATCGGATGATGGTGGGTGGGTTGGTGCGAGGGGTGGAGGGTACGTTGGAACGGCATGGCCTTGTTGAATCATGTGCGACTGTTGGAGAGACGATGAGGCAAGGGGCGAGGAGGAAGCACGGGAGGAGGAGGAGGATGATGGCACGTCAGGAATAGAGCACCCAGATTCCACCAAGCCAGCTCGAACACACAGGCACTCCACCTGGAACGAAAGGGCGGGGAGCAGGGAGGGTGTTGCTGGCAATGAGGTGTTGACAATGAGGTGCGGGCATTACCTCAGTCGTGACACCAAGCTTGGCAGCAGAGGTGGGTTGGATGATGGCGCGCACACACAGGCACTCCGCCTGGCGAGGGAGGGCAGGAAGGGCAGGAAGGCGAGGGACGGGGGAACTGGGAACAGCATGTTGAAGACAGCTTGGCAGCCCCTTCGGCAGCAGGAATACCTTATGGCTTGTTGAAACTCGAAACCAGGGATACAACACGTGTGTCCCCCATGCCACCCGAGGTTTCAACAAGTCAGCGCCGGCACTTCACACCTGGTGAGGCAGGGCAGGGAGCAGAGGGGAGAGTCAGCAGTGGTGGCAGTGAGTTGCGGACAACACCTTGGCATTCAAGCTCTCAGGGGTGCCGCCGAGCCGGCACGCACACACAGGCACTCCAAGGTACGACCCTCCACGCGGAATTCACCCGTTCTCCACCCACCTGCCCTCCACACTTTCTTGCCTGCAGGGACGTGGCTGCAGCAGTCACAGACAGCAGCTCCATTCACCTTTTGAGACGACTCAAACCCCCCGAGTCAAGTCAACCCCTGACCCCCTGCCAAGTCAAACCCCCCGAGTCATACTCTAATCACCCTCGTGTCTATACCAACTTACGTCCCTCCCCCCGCCCTCAACACTCTCTTACCTGCAGGGACGCGGCAGCATCTCCATGATCCATCCATCGCTCTTTCGAGACGCCCCAACCCTCCGAATGAACTCAGCCCCTGGCCATAGCCATTTTGACCCCCCCTGACTACTTACCTGCAGGGACGCGGCAGCAGCAGTCACAGACAGCAGCTCCATCCACCTTTTGAGACACTTTAAACCCCTCACGTCAAGTCGGCCCCCATATTCTTACCTGCAGGGACGCGGCTGCAGCAGTCACGGAGAGCAGCTCCATCCACCTCTCAGCTGCCTGCTTGCTCTCCGCCGCCAGGTGGTGCGATCCCATTGGCCCGCGGATGTCTGTGCGGGAGCAAAGGAAGGCGGATTCAGATAAAGCACGTGAAACACGTGAAAGAGGTAGAAGGGAGGGAAGGCCAGGATACAGAAGAGAGATGGTTACCGAGTCAAGATTCAAAGAGAAAGAAAATAAGAAAATAAGGCAGAGGAAGAAGAAAATAAGGCAGAGGAAGGCTGGGAAGGTGACTCACAGAAGCAGGACCAGGAGGGGTGGTTGGCCGGGGAGCTGCACGTTGGGGTCAGGGAACAAGGAAGAGAAAGGCGAGACGGACGAGGCAGGGGTGGGAATGAAGAGGAAGATATTTGAGTCGACTCAAAAATTGACCAGGTGGGGTGGTTGGCCGGGAGCTGCACGTTGGGGTCAGGAAACAAGGACTAGAAGGGGAGACGGACGAGACAGGGAGGCGAATGAAGGGGAAGTGGGAGAGATGAAGTGCACGACCAGAAAACAGTTTGCAGAACGATTCTAGGAAAATCAAGGTGACTTACTGCACCACCCCGAGAACTACAGGTGAGGCAAGGGGACTGCAGAAGGGGTTAGGATGCAGCAAGAATTCACACCTCAGCACCCCCACACTCGCGTCCACCAATGCAATCGTGCCACGTAGGCGCGAATCTCCCTCCCTGATCTTATACAGCAGCCGTGGCGCGCCTCGATGCAGAATGAACCAGCGGCGCCGCCATTGGCGCAGCTGATCGCTGAGCTTCCACAGCTCCCCCTCTAGCGTCTGGCCTTCTAGAAGATGAGATTCCGCTAATCCGTGTGACTTGCGGAGGGACCAAGCCGCCATTGGAAATACCGTTAGAGAGTGGCTTTCGGAAACGGGGGTTATGAGCATCCGACGCTATGAGCATTCAAGGGTATCAGCATTCGAAGCCATCAGCATCAGAATTCAGCCTGGACTTCTGCCAGCAGAGATTCCGCTAATCCATCTGGTCTGAACGTTACGTGAAGTGTCGCTATGCGCACCAGAGCCGGTTGCTTACAACGACGTCACGGATCTCCGCAAGAAGGTCTAGATGCCGGGCTCGAATGTCCGCGGTTGCAATATTCTGAGATTCATCTGAATGCGCATGTAACAAAGTCGACGAACAACATAATCAGGGACCGACGCAAAGACACACGTACGGGTGACGGATCGTCTTACTGCCGATGGACGGTCCTGCTAAGGTCGCTCGTGGGTCCTACTATCTCCGAATAAACTGAGTGTCGCCATCAAGAATGGCGAGGGTTGGAAAAACGCTTATGTGTGGTGAAGGAAGTCATAATGCGATGCAGTGCGTTTCTGAAGGTTGAATGTGCTGAAGCAGTGGGATCCACATCAGCTTCAAACGACACTGCTACCTGACCTGCCTGTCTGCGACGTCAAGTTACTGGAGAGAAATGACGGTGCAGCGCTTAACGAAGATTGATTAGATGAGCGACGATTGCGAAGAATTGGGAACGCCTGTGCTGTTTCGGCAAGATCGATGCGCGGAGCCCAACCGCCACTGCGAGCGAAGCCCATGAACAGAAACGGCTGGACACCGCTTGTAACACCAAATTCGATACGGTATCTACTGCACACTGCGATCTCCCAATAATAACCGTATATTCGGTTTCACGACGCTCGCAACATGTCTAGCGAATATGATTGCAGGGGTGGGTGGTTCTGCATTCGCGAAACCTTTGTTCCAACAATTCCCCAGGTACACGCATTTAACAGCACAGCTACTTCCACCCTCATTACCACTGCCCTCACAGAGGCGAGCAGTAGGTACAGCCGATCGTTGCTTGCTGTTTCTTGCTACCGAAGGCTTGGCTTGCGTAATTCTATTCCGAAGGTTATGCGACGTGGCTGCTGGTAGCTCTCCGCAAGCACTCGTCCTCGTTTATCCGTACGGCACGTCATAAACGTTTAATCAGGATCTTTCCGCTCGTTGCGCTAGTTCGAGCGTCGCCGTCTTTCACGCATCGGCGGTAACGGTCACCATGCTCGGGCCGGACGTGCCGCATCGGGTGAATTCTGACGGCCACGACGAGGGTGGCTTCTCCTTCTTCGTAAGCCCCCGTCGACTGTCCTCAGCGGATGCTATTGTGACTTCTCTTGATCTTCACGTATTGGCCTTGCGATCTCAAGAGTAGAAGGGAATTTGGAGCGTTTGTTTCTCTCGCGATTCACTTTTTATTGTTGTTCTGCTTCTTGATTGCCTTTTCAGGGAGGAGCCAGCACCGCCGCCACCGCCAACACCACCACCACCGCAACCAGCACCAAGGTTACTGAACCTACTGCCGCCTCACTCCACCCATTCGCCGCCTTTTCCACCCCCAAACAACCCCCAGCCACGAAACTTAATGGCACCGCACCCAACACCGCTGCACCCATCACGACTTCGCACCTTTTCCGGCCTTCTGGGAAGAGCCAATCAGGCGCGTCCACGTCATCTCTTCCCTCTCCTCCCATGGTAGCTGCTGCGTCCGTGCCTCTGGAAAGAAGCAGAGAGACAGATGCAGGCGTCGCAAGCACTGGGGGAGCAGCAGGTGCTGCTGTTAACAGTGCTACAGCTGCAGCGGCGGCAACAGGAGGAGGAGCAACAGCAGCTGGTGCGAAAAGGCAGCCGCGGAAGAAGTTCATTCCGGAGCAGGGTTTGAGTCAGATGAGCTGGCGTAAGGCCAGCGCCGCTGCTGCCAATGATATAGCCCGTACGTGTGTGACGGTGGGTGCAAGTGGGTGAGTGTGGGTTCGAGTGGGTGACGAGGGGTGCAAGTGGGTGATTGTGGGTGCAAAGAGGTAAGGAAATAGTTCATTCCGGAGCAGGGTTTGAGTCAGATGAGCTGGCGTAAGGCCAGCGCCGCTGCTGCCAATGATATAGCCCGTACGTGTGTGATGGTGGGTGCGTGGGTGAGGATGGGTTCGAGTGGGTGACGGTGGGTGCAAGTGGGTGAGGTTGGGAGCAAGCTGTTCAGGGTGGCCATGAGTGTGTGGAGGGTATTCGCCCTCTTGCTCCCTCCCATCTGCCAGGGTACCGCATGCAGCACAAAAGTGCCATACATATGGAGAGCTCTCTCTGACCGTGTGGCCAGCTCAGCGCTGTTCGCTTTCTCTCCCAATCACCCTCTTGCTCTCTCCCATCTCCCAGGGCACCGCATGCAGCACCAAGGCGCTATACAGGTGGCAGCGGTTGCTTGCTCTCTCTTACCACGTGTGCGTGCGCTGCTTAACATTGTTCACTTTCCCTCCCATCACCCAGGCTACCGCATGCAGCACCAAGGCGCCATACGCATGTCGGAGGTGAAGCGGCACAAGAGGGAGGACGATGCATGGACCGTGGTGCGAGGCAGAGTCTACAACATCACACCCTACCTCGACTTCCACCCGGGAGGTGAGTCGTTGCTGCCATCTCTCTGTTCCCCCTCCTCCCCACCCCCTCCGTTCCCCCTTTGTTTGTTCTGATAAGTTCATTGACTATGACATGGCCCCTGTCTCCATGTGCGACTTTCCCTATCCTCTCCCCTCTCCCCCTCCCCCTCATGCTGTGACTGCAGGGAAGGCTATTCTAATGAAGGGCGCAGGCAAGGACTGCACAGCCCTCTTCAGTAAGCTCTTACTACCACAACCCTACGCCCTCTTCCCCCTCGTTCTCTTGTTTTCTCGCCATCTCCTTCTGTCCTTCCCTGTTACTCAGCTTCTGGCTTTTCTTGTTTCCCAACTGTCACGGCGAATTTTTAGATCTTGTGTCCGTAGCCTTGCCTTTTCTCTCTTTCTGCCCGTCTTGTCAGATTATTGCAATAGTAGCATAATCAGAGGCTGTTGCCCGCCGGGTAACAAACGCCCAAACAACACCACACATTAAGAGCCTAACCACATTACCCTCCCCCCCCCCCACTTCTTCCCCACCCCCCCAAGCAGACAAGTACCGTGGGTGAATGCGGACTTCCTATGAGACCAATGCTCCCACTTATTGCCACCCACTCACTTTCAACCAACCTCATTCTCTCCTGTCCCCTCATCCCTCATCCCTCATCCCTCATCCCTCTTCCCTCTTCCCTCCTCCACCAGACAAGTACCATGCATGGGTGAACGCGGAGTTCCTATTGGACCAATGCTTCCTGGGCATGCTCATTCCTCCCACAACCCCCCACCAGACAAGTACCATGCATGGGTGAATGCGGAGTTCCTATTGGGCCAGTGCTTCCTGGGCATGCTCATTCCTGAAGACTGATGCCGAGGGAGGGGCAATGAACCAAGTGTCTCTCGTTTCTCCTCCACTGCCCTCCCTCCCACAACCCCCCACCAGACAAGTACCATGCATGGGTGAATGCGGAGTTCCTATTGGACCAGTGCTTCCTGGGCATGCTCATTCCAGATGACTGATGCTGGGGGTGATGCCTGCTCAACCCGATGTGCTACTATCGAAGCTGACTTAACCGTGCATGGGCTGAGATGAGATGACTAAGGAGGAAGGAAGGACTACCGGTGTTACAAGCATGCGCATTCCCGATGACTGGGACTGAGCGGGACACTCAAGCGAGCTTGCTTGCTCTACTTATTGCACTAATTGCTCCTGAAGCTGACTTGACTACACGTATGTGATAGATGATGAGATGACAAAAGGATGGCCTGTGCTTTCTTTTACCGTATGACTTGTGATGGGATAGGCTCGGCAGTTAAACGGTGGTACCGTAACTATATCATTGCGTCTGATCTGATGTGGTGGGTGGTTGAGACTCATTCATGAACGACTTGGAGAAATATGCTGCTGCAATTCAGTGCAACGGAGAGCGAAGGTGTTCGGCTGGTGGTTGAATCGTTGAATCGAACGTCAAAGCACACAACCATGTTTCTTGTTAGTTGCAGGAAAACGGATTACAGATTCCTTTTCCTGTTACACCCCGGGTTCTAACGTACGGTATTGTGCTCCATAAGGGCTGGTTGGAAAATTACCTGGAGATCCATTGCTAACAGGCACAACAAAACAAGTCTCCCAATGCTGAGTCGATTTCCTGTTGGTCAATAACATCACAGCTAGTTAGGAGTAGCGGTATGTGATGCAAAACCCGTCAAGGGGACACCTAGTCATCACATAGCTCCTGCTGTTGATACACGAAAATCACATGAATATCGTATAATGAAATGTAGCACTTGTGACAACGAAGGTCCACTTTTTATGTAAGATGGCTGGAAGGGTGGCTGGGAGGGTGGCTTTGCGGGTGGCTGGCTGGGATGTGCTGAGCGGAATTGGATGTGGCAACAGTAACTCCCCCTGCAGTGGCAGTCCCAGAAGGGACAGCAGGGGCAGCAGGCACAGCAGGGGCAGCAGGCACAGCAGGTACAGCGGGCACTGCAGGAGTACTAGGTACAGCGGGCACTGCAGGAGTACTAGGTACAGCGGGCACTGCAGGAGTACTAGGTACAGCGGGCACTGCAGGAGTACTAGGTACAGCGGGCACTGCAGGAGTACTAGGTACAGCGGGCACAGCAGGAGTACTAGGTCCAGCGGGCACTGCAGGAGTACTAGGTACAGCGGGCACTGCAGGAGTACTAGGTCCAGCGGGCACTGCAGGAGTACTAGGTCCAGCGGGCAGTGCAGGAGCGGCAGCAGCAGCATATCCAGTGAATGAGAATGAGAACCCCCTCGCTGCCTCTGCTTCTCGTGAAGCTTCGTGACGTGACTCACAGAAACCACCGCCACCGAATGTGTCCGCTGCAGGAGATGGTGCGAGTAGTGGGGGGATTGATTGTGTGGGTAACACCTGGGGAACTGAGACTGAAGGGAGCGGCTGGGAATGCGTGACTGAAGGGAGGGGTTGAATCTGTGTGGGGGAAGGGAGCAGCGGAGTTTGTGTGGGTGAAGGGACGGGCTCAGTCTTTGTGACTGTAGGGAGAGGCCTAGTCTGTGCGGGTGAAAGGATAGTCTGCTACATGTTTGTGTAGATTTGGGGCATCTGTAAGTTGATGTAATAATGTGCTAACATGCTTGGGCGTAGAAGAACCAAGCTAGTGATAGATTAGGCGCTTCCCATGCAGCCACTTAGTCCGATGATTTCTTATATTTCCGGGCAGTTAGAACTGTTTCTAGCTGACCGTAAACGTAAAGCCATTTTTAGCCCACGTAAGTAAACGTAAGTTTACTACGTAAAGTCACGTAAACGTAAACCACCGTAAACGTACAATACCAACTAAGGGAGAGGCCTAGTCTGTGTGGGTGAAAGGATGGGCAGCCCATGTGTGACTGTAGAGGGAGGCAGAGTCTGTGTGACTGTAGAGGGAGGCGGTGTCTGTGTGACTGCAGACGAGCCAAGTGGCATCCCTACCCCTGGCAGCACGGTTGAATGCAGAGGAAAGGGCAGGTGAAGGGGCAGGTGAAGGGGCAGGTGAAGGGGCAAGTTAAGGGGCAGGGCAGCACCTGAGCCTTTCAGGTGTGGTGCAGTTGACCTGTAAGTCTGGGCTGCAGGCATGGCTGGGTGACTACTATGAGAGTTCTGAAAAGCACCCTGCCCTACTGCCGGGCTGTAAGCAGGGGCAGCAGATGCTGCATTTACTTGAGGCGCCTTAAATGCAGTTGACCTGAAAGGCGGGGCTGCAGGCATGGCAGGGTGACCATGAGAGTTATGAAAAGCACCTTGCCCTGCTGCCGGTATGGAATGAGAGGCGGCAGACACTGAACTTACTTGGGGCCGCAGAGCAGAGAGGCGGGCATGGGGTGAAGCGGAGACAGAGGGACCTTGAGGTTGGGACAGGCCCAGCTGCTGCTGCTGCTGCTGCTGCTGTTGGGTGGGAGTAGAGGCGGTGCTAGAGATGGCGCTGCGAGTGGTACTCGGACTGGTGATGGGGGATATTGCAGCAGGAGGAGCAGGTGAGGCAGAGACGGCGGGGTTTGTTGAGGGGCTGAGCAGTGACGGTAGCTGGGTCAGGCTCGGCTGCTGCTGCTGCGGCTGTTGCTGTTGGGTGGGAGCAGTGGTGGTTCTGTGAGTGGTGTTGGGAGCGGTGGAAGCAGGTACAGGTGCTTGGAGAAGTAGTGAGCGGAGGTGCGGAGTCTGAGATGAGAGAGGCTGGTGTATGGAGGCGGGAGGGGGATGAGAGGCACAGTTAGTGGTGGTGGGAGAGAAAGAGGATGAGAGGGAAAGAGGAGGCGCAGACGCGAGGAGGGAGGAGGGCTGAGAGGGACGAGGGAAGAAGGCGAGGGAGGATTGGTGATGCGGGAGAGGGGGCGGAGCTGGAAGGTGCAGTGATGTGGTGGGAGCGGTGCAGGGCTTGACTGGGGTAGGGCTGACTGGGTTGACTTGGGTTGGGTTGACTGGTTCAGGACTGACTGGTGCAGGGCTGACTGGTGCAGGGTTGACTGGTGCAGGGTTGACTGGTGCAGGGTTGACTGGTGCAGGGTTGACTGGTGCAGGGTTGACTGGTGCAGGGTTGACTGGCGCAGGGTTGACTGGTGCAGGGTTGAATGGCGCAGGGTTGAATGGCGCAGGGTTGACTGGTGCAGGGTTGACTGGTGCAGGGTTGACTGGTGCAGGGTTGACTGGTGCAGGGTTGACTGGTGCAGGGTTGACTGGTGCAGGGTTGACTGGTGCAGGGTTGACTGGTGCAGGGTTGACTGGTGCAGGGTTGACTGGTGCAGGGTTGAATGGCGCAAGCACATGGAGTGGAGGAGTGGTTGTGTGAGGCTGAGATGTGGGGAGTGCTGAGTTGAACCTGGAGGGCTGCTGATGGGATTGCAATGGGGAGAGTGCTGCTGCTGCTTGCTGCTGATACGCATTGGCTGGGCTGGTAGCAGAAAGAGCGGGTTTGACTGGTGCAGAAGCATTGAGTGAAGCTGGGTTGAATGAGGACGGCTGCGGATGAGGAGACTGCAATGGGGTGAGCGCTGCTGCCGCTCCCTGCTGATGGGTATTGGCTGGAGTGGTAGCAGCAAGAGCAGGAGTGGTAGCAGCAAGAGCAGGAGTGGTAGCAGCAAGAGCAGGAGTGGTAGCAGCAAGAGCAGGAGTGGTAGCAGCAAGAGCAGGGGTGGTAGCAGCAAGAGCAGGAGTGGTAGCAGCAAGAGCAGGAGTGGTAGCAGCAAGAGTAGGGGTGGTAGCAGCAAGAGCAGGGGTGGTAGCAGCAAGAGCAGGGGTGGTGGCAGCAAGAGCAGGGGTGGTGGCAGCAAGAGCAGGAGCGGCAGAAGAAAGAGCAGGGGTGGTAGCAGCAAGAGCAGGAGTGGTAGCAGCAAGAGCAGGAGTGGTAGCAGCAAGAGCAGGAGTGGTAGCAGCAAGAGCAGGGGTGGTAGCAGCAAGAGCAGGAGTGGTAGCAGCAAGAGCAGGAGTGGTAGCAGCAAGAGTAGGGGTGGTAGCAGCAAGAGCAGGGGTGGTAGCAGCAAGAGCAGGGGTGGTGGCAGCAAGAGCAGGGGTGGTGGCAGCAAGAGCAGGGGTGGTGGCAGCAAGAGCAGGGGTGGTGGCAGCAAGAGCAGGGGTGGTGGCAGCAAGAGCAGGAGCGGCAGAAGAAAGACCAGGGGTGGTAGCAGCACGAGCAGGGGTGGTAGCAGCAAGAGCAGGGGTGGTAGCAGCAAGAGCAGGGGTGGTAGCAGCAAGAGCAGGACCGGCAGTAGCAACAGTGGAGGTGGCAGAAGCAATGGCAGGAGTAGCAGCAGCAAAAGCAGGAGTGGGGGCAGCAAGAGCTGGAGTGGCAGCAGCAACAGCCGGCCTCACAGCAGGTGCAGCAGCCAAACCAGGGGTAGCAGCAGGAGGAGCAGCAGTAGTAGCAATAGCAGCAGGAGAAGCAGCAAGAGGGGCAGCAGTAGCAGCTGGGGAAGCAGCAGGAGGAGCAGCAATACTGGCAGGAGGAGGAGCAGTGGCAGCAGAAGGAGTAGCAGGAGGAGCAGCAGTAGTGGCAGCAATAGCAGCAGGAGGAGCAGCAGTAGCAGCAGCAGCAGGAAGAGGAGCAGCAGTAGCAGCAGGAGGACCAACAGTAGTGGCAAGCGGGGCACGGACAGGGACGGGCAAAGCAGCAGCAGCAGCAGCAGCAGCAGGTGCAGGTGCGGGTGCAGGGGCATCTATAGCAGCCAGAGCCAGCATCTTCTTTTGCAGCCTCACACTCACTCGGGTCCCTGCCACCCCTGCTACCCCTCCTCCCCCTGCTCCCCCTGCCCCCCCTGCCCCCCCTTCTCCTCCTGCCCCCCCTGCTGCTCCTGCTGCACCTGCTCCCCCTGCTTCCCCCGAGCGTGGGTGAGGCAGTTGCTGCATACTGCTTACTGGCGGGGCAGCAGCAGAGGGCGGGGATGTGTCATTAGCAGCAAGTTGGTTTGGCGTTGCAGCAGCAGCAGCAGCCACAGCGGTAGGAGTGGTGGCAGCAGCAGGAAGGAGGATAGGCGTGGTGGCAGTGGCAGCAAGCAGGTTGCTGAGTCTAGTGGTGGGGCGAGTGGCGAGGCGAGAGCGAGTGTGGGAGGGGGGACGGGGTATTGGAGGGGTGGGTGCAGCAGCGGCAGCAGAGGCAGCAGCAGCAGCAGCAGGGGCAAGAGAAGCAGTAGCAAGGGAACTCAGCTCACGCATGGGTTCAGGGGCAGATGTAATGGCAGCAACGGGAGAAGCGGCAGCAGCAGCAACAGCTGGTGCCTTGCCTGTCAACAACACCAACCTCTCTTGCAGTGCGTGTGGGGAGGACAGAGGGGTGGAGGGAGGAAGAGAGAGCAGCGATGGAGCACCAACAGGAGCGGAGGAAGGAGGAGGAGGAGGAGGAGTCGGAAGGGGGGAAAATTGGGAGTTGTGGACGCATGCAGGAAAGGAAGCTGGAAGGGCAGTACCCGAGGAGAAGAAGGCTTGAGCCAGAGACAAGGTCTCTGTTATAGCTGGTAGGGGGGTGGGTTGGGGTAGGAGGGTGAGAACGAAGGGGTTAGGCTTTGAGACGTCTCGAAGCGGGGTAGGCGAGGAGAAGAAGGCTTGTGCGAGCGACAAGGCCTCTGCGATCGCTGAAAGGGGTAGCGTGGGGTAGGAGGGTGAGATGAGAACGGAGGGGATTGTGTTGTGAGTACGCACGTGGTGGAGAGAGCAAGAAAATGGGAGACACTTGTAGAGCAACAAGCACACATAGAGATCTTGTTTCAGAACGTATGGAATGCTTCCCAACATGGTTCAGAGGGAGAGGGAGAACGAAATGCGCGAAATGCGCAGGGAGAGGAGGTCTTACCCAGGGGAAGTGGGCGTGTCGAGCTGCAGAGTGCGTGCTGAGGAGAGGGAGGCGCAGGGAGAGGAGGTCTTACCCAGGGGAAGCGCCTTCTGGCAAAGAATCGCTTCAGCAGCCAGCAGGCGAACGGGCGTGTATGGCTGCAGCGCATGCTGAGAGCACAGCTCCTCCATTGGAGCGGCAGCAAGGCCGTCAGCAGGCAACCAGTCGGCCTCGGGAGGAAACAAGTCCACCTCCCCCCTACCTTGCCCTGTGTGTGCTGCTACTTCATCTGCTGCAGCCGTCCCCCCAGCCGTCCCCACTGCACCTGCTGCTGCCTCTGGAGGAAACAAGTCAACCTCCTCCCTGCCTTCCGTTGTGCGTGCTGCTACTTCATTTGCTGCCGCTGTCCCCCCAGCCGTCCCCCCAGCCGTCCCCCCAGCCGTCCCCACTGCACCTGTTGCTGCCTCGGGAGGAAACAGATCCACCTCGTCCTTCCTGCCCTCTCCTGTGTGTGCTGCTGCAAGCATGCAACCTTTGGCGTCCATCCCCTCGCTACCGAACCCCTGTGACTCTTTTCCCTTCCCATGCCGTTCCTCCACTGTTTCACGCGTCTCCTCACACGTCTCCTCACACGTCTCCTCACACGTCTCCTCACACGTCTCCTCACACGTCTCCTCACACGTCTCCTCACACGTCTCCTCACAGGTCTCCCTGTCACCACCCGTAGCTGCGCCTTCCATGCGTGCATGCATGTCCACGCCTTCCATGCTTGTATGCATGCCATCGCCTTCCATGCTTGTATGCATGCCATCGCCTTCCATGCTTGTATGCATGCCATCGCCTTCCATGCTTGTATGCATGCCATCGCCCCCACATGGAGCATGCATGGCAGCAGCACCCTCTTTCCCCCCAGTAACATCCGCTACATTCACAGCCACATTTGCCTCATCTGCCATGCGCCCATCTTCCCTCCCCATGCTTGTCCGCGAACCCTCTTCTGCTCTCTCTTCGCCTTCTGCCCTTTCCGTCCCTTGTGCATCTTCTGTGCCTCCTGTGCAGTCTATGCCCACTCGTGCCACTGCAGCAGCTTGTGCGGCGGCAGTTGCTGCTGCTGGGACAGGCGGTTTAGATTCTGAAGCTGCAGCTACTGCCACACCTCTTGCTGCTGCCTGTGCCTCCTTCGCCTTCCCACCCCCGCCTCTGCTGCACCCCTCAGTCCTCTCGTCCCCCTTCCTCCTCTCCTCCTCTGCCTGCCCCACCTCTGCCTGCCCCACCTCTGCCTGCCCCACCTCTGCCTGCCCCGCCTCATCTTTTATCTTCCTCTTCTCCTCCGTCCCCCCTCCTTCCCATGCCATGTGCGTCCTGTCACCATCCACACCCATGCCCAGTGCCATACTACCATCCTTTCCCTCCATACCATTCATGCCCTTACCTCCTTCCATTCCCACCCCTCCTCGCCCACCCTCCAGCCCACTCACACCCTCCACCACCCTTTCCTCCCTTCCCTCCCCTTTGACAGACCTTGTACCCTCAACACCCTCCGCTACCATCTTGTCCCCCATATAAGCTTCTCCAACTACACCTACCATGTTTTCTGTCGCAGCTGCATCCTGCTCTCCCGTCCTCCCCTCCTCCTGCCCTCCTCTCCCTGTATCCTCAAAAGCCATGCTTCGGTGCTGCCCCTTTTGCTGCTCTGTCCCACGTGAGTGACCCACACCAGCTGCAGCATTATCACCGGCAGCAGTAACACCAGTGTCAACAGCAGTATCAGCTGCCAAACCAGCACTCTCCTTGCTCCCTATCTCTGCAACTCCTGCCTCTTCCTTCATCATTCCCTCCTCCTTGAGCCCTTCCAATCTGATAGCACCAGCAGCAGCAGCATGACTAGCAGTCTCAACAGCAGTATCAGCTGCCAAGCCAGCACCCTCCTCGCTCCCTATCTCTGCAACTCCTGCCTCGTCCCTCATCACTCTCTCCTCCTTGAGCCCTCCAGGTGCAATCACAGCTCCTGCTGTTGTTGCTGCTGCTGATTTGGCTGTCGCTCGTGGTGTTGATGTTGGTGCCGCGGACAAGGGCGGTGGCTCCAGTTGCCTTTCAGCGGTCAGAATCCCTGCCGCTGCTGCCATCATCGTTTCATCTGCTGCTGCTTCCCCAACCACCAACACAGCCCCTCCTCCTCCACATCTGCCCTCCTCACCCTCCCCTCCGTTTCGCTCATCCACTCTTTCTTCCCCCTCTCCTCCTAGTCCTCCCACATCCATCTCTCGCACCCCGACTTCCTCCATCAGAACACTCTTCCCGCTCATTCCCTCCCCTTCCACAACCTCCGCCTCTGCTACCTCGTGAGACGATTTCTTAGGCGCCTCAATAACAACTTTTGCCTCCACTGCCCCTCGAGTCAACTCAACCCTCCCCTCCTGCTCCCCCTCCGCACTTATCAGCCCCTCCCCCTCCTCCCCACTCTTCACCTCCCCCTCCACCTCTGTGCCTTGCACCCGCTCATCCACCTCTGTGCCTTGCACCCGCTCATCCACCTCTGTGCCTTGCACCCGCTCATCCACCTCTGTGCCTTGCACCCGCTCATCCACCTCCTCTCCAACAGAAGCATCCCCACCATCAACCCACTCCCCCTGCGGTGCTCCCCCCTGCTCTGCTACCCCCTGTCCTTCTTCCCCCTGCCCTTCTCCCCCTTCTTCCCCTTCACCCCACTGCGCTGCTCCCTCCTGCCCCGCTCCCCCCTGCACAACCTGCCCTCCCCCCTGGTTGTTCACCCGATAGCTCTTGGCACGGTACCATCGAGCCCGCTGCCCCTTCTTGCGCCGCGACTTGCTCCCCCTGCCTGACTTGCCCGACTTGCTTGCCTTGTGGGACCTTGCATGCGGGCCGCTTCCTCCCCCAGGCCGTCCTTCCACTGCTTTCCGCTTGTGGGAGTGTTGCGGCAAAGGCCCTGATGCTGCAGCCGCAGCACTGGCAGCGGCATCGGACGCATTGACAGCAGAAGCGGTGGCTCGTTTGGATTGGAGAAGGGAGAGGGCGAGGGGGGTGCAGGGCCACGCCATGACAGTGACGTGGGAGGGGAGGGAGGAAGAGAGAGCGTAGGTGAGGCGGATGGAGAGATCGCTGCAGGGGTGGGGTGGGGTGGGGTGGGGATAGGGGAGCAGTGGGAACAAAAGGGGCAGGGGAAGGAATGCTTTAGGACAGAGGAGTGGAAAAGTCTGAAAAGCGAAAGCAGCAGCGGGATGAGCATGGAACAGGAAAGCTTCAGCAGACGCACTGAGAGCCTCACTATGAGTCTGGTTACCAGGTTACAAGCACACAGATGCCACCTCCTTACCAGGAAGCAGCAGTGAGGTAGAGGAGGGCGCGTGTGTGTGCAGGGTTGTGGTACAGCTGAAGCACATGCGCGCTGTGGGCCTCACAGGCCTGCTCCAACTGGTGGGTGCAAGGATGAACGGGAGGAAATGGATGGAGGATGAGAATGCAAGTCACTGAAGAAAGAGGGGCCTCCCAGGCCCGCTCTAGCTGGTGCGAGGAGAGAAGGAAGGGACGGAGAGAGATTGAGGCAGGGAGGAGAATGAATGTGCGAGTTGTCTGCTTCCTACACCTTAACTTTGAGAAATCTCACAAGTATCCCTTAGAAGTGATTTCCCTCTCCACCTCTTCACCCCACCTCTTCACCCCACCTCTTCACCCCACCTCTTCACCCCACCTCTTCACCCCACCTCCTCACCCCACCTCTTCACCCCACCTCCTCACCCCACCTCTTCACCCCACCTCCTCACCCCACCTCTTCACCCCACCTTCTCAACCCCACCCCTCGCCCCCCCAACTCACCTGCCCCCTTCGTGAGACGAAGGCATCAAGGAGACGAGCCAAATGTGATGCAAAGAGCTGTGGGGAGGGAAAGAATGGAGGTGGGTAGAAACGGGAGGACAGTAAGTTGCATTGCGACCAAGGCATTGAGGGGATGAGGCAGATGGGACGCAAAGAGCTGCGGGGGGAGAGGAGGAGAGAAGTGGGATGTCGGGAGAGGACAGGAGTGAAGTGGGTTGTACTGAGAGTAAAGTAAAGCATTCAGGAAACATGCTATAGGGAATGCAAAGAGCTGGTGGGAGAGCTTCAAAAGAGGAATTTGGAAAAGGAAGCACAACTGCAGGGAGGAGAAAGTGGCGGGATGAGAGGAGAAAATTCTCGCGTTCAGCTGATATTGAGGCAAGCATCAGGAGAGTGCGAATAACAACAAGAAGCAACACACACACAGCAGCAGCAGCAGCAAGCCAATCACAGGTTTGAGAGTCATGTAATATTTCCAACTGTTGTCCAACCAATAGCATCAGCCAGACCTCACCTCAGGCTGACGTGGCAGGAAGTCTTGCTCTAACTGGCTGATGGGAAGGAAGGGAGGCACGCTGGAGTCCACCAATCTCAGCCCGCCACGTGGCGCTTCAAGAACTCCCGCATGCGACTTGCCGTTGTCCTCTTTCTGATTGCCCTCGGCGTTGTCTGAGTGAGTGTGCTGTACAAAGGTGTGGTCTGCTGGGGTGTGCTGCGGTGGGGAGGTGTGGTCGTGGGTGTGGTGCAGGGAGCAGAAGAAGCTCTCTCTGGGTGTCCCTGTCACACAGGCGGGCAGAAAGGGGGACGGACAAGGAGGATGGACAGGGCAGAAAGGGGAAAGAACAGGGAGCACACTGCAATCTGGTACTGAGGCACAAGGCGTGAGGGGAGGGGAGGGGCAGGGAGGAGCAATGCATGAGGCAATGAGGCATGGACCATGGGGCTTGAGGGGCATGAGGATACTCACCCTGGAAAGAGGTGTCAACGCGCAGCAGCACGCGCTTTCCTTCCACCAGCACCATCGCCTGCCCTCGCCCCGTGAACCCCCCTGCCTGCCCTGTGAACCCACTACGGTGACACGGCCTGACCCTGCAATGAGATACTCACCCTGGAAAGAGGTGTCAATGCGTAGCAGTATGTGGCTGCCTTCCACCAGCACCACCGCCTGCCCTTGCCCCGTGAACCCCACCGTGCTCTGTGTGTCACCAGAATAGAGCACTCACCCTGGAAAGAGGTATCAATGCGCAGCAGCACGCGCCTCCCTTCCACCAGCACCACCGCCTGCCCTTGCCCCGTGAACCCCACCACCCTCTGCCTGCCCTCCTCCTCCTTCCCTTCTCCCCCTCCTTGACTCACTCCTCCTCCTGCTCCTCCTCCTCCTGCTGCTCCTCCTCCTGCTGCTCCTCCTGCTCCTGCTCCTCCTCCTCCTTCCTGTGCTCTTTCCCCCTCTTCGACTTTCACCTGAACAGCAGCCACTGCAGTGTGTACTTTCACCTGACTTTCACCTGAACAGAAAACAGGTATGGCTCCCCCCTCGCCCTCCCTCCCACCACTTCTCCTTTGCCGCACCTCCCTTTCCATCCCGTCGCCTCTCCTCTCCTCCCGCCCTACCTCCCTCTCTTGGTTCTCCAGCTCCCTTTTCCTTTTGGTCGCATCAGCAACAGCAGCGTCCACATCAGCGCCAGCAGTGTCCACATCAGCAACACCAGTGTCCACATCAGCAACACCAGTGTCCACATCAGCAACAGCAGCGACCATATCAGCAGCAGCAGTGACTTCCAGTTCAGTCTTAGGTATTGAACCATTGATACTTCCAGATTCATCCATGGCAACACCAGCAGCACCAGCATCAACAGACACACCAGCAGTACCAGTACCAGCATCAGCAGAAACATCAGCACCCGGGGCTTCAACAGCAGCAGCAGCACCAACCGTTGATGTTGATTCTGCTTTCATCACCCCCTCTCGCGCCCCATCGACTAATGCTCTCACTCCTCCCATCTCCTCCCCTGCCCCAAAATTTTCCCCTCCGCCAACCGCTTTCCCTTCGCCTTCTCCCCCAGTCTGCCCCTCGTCCCTTGCCTTCTTCTCCACGCACAGTGCGCCAAACCCCCCACCACTTCCCTTATCATCTACGGCAACATCCTGTACGGCAACATCAGAAACATCTCCAGCTGCCAGTGCCAGTGCATCTACTGCCCCTCTCCCAGCCTCTGCTGCTTCTCCTGCCAATCCTGCCCCGCTCTCTTCTCCCCCACTCACAGCCACATCCCTCTCCTTCCCCTCAACACACAGTGCACCAACCCCCTCACCGGTCCCCTTATGATCATCTCCCTTTTCAACACCCGTGTCAGCTTCCTTTTGAGGTGCATCCAAAACCCCTTCACCCATCCCCTTGACATCCCCTGCAGTAGCATTCTCAGCTGCACCTGCACCTGCATTCTCAGCATTCCCCCCAGTTGTGCTCCCAACACCATTCTCCACAATTCCTCTGTCAGCACCCGCACCTGCACCACCGCTCCCTGCAGCTCCCCCAAGTGCCCCCCCAGGTGCTCCCCCAGGTGCTCCCCCAGGTGCTCCCCCAGGTGCTCCTTCAGGTGCTCCCCCAGGTGCTCCCTCAGGTGCTCCTTCAGGTGCTCCCCCAGGTGCAGCAGCATTGTCAACATCACCACTCGCGGCAGTGTGGGCGGAGGGAGGTGGGGGGGAAGAGGAGGGGAGGCGGGAGAGGAGGGCTGTCCACTGGTGGTTCAAACACATAGCAGGTGCTGTTGCTGATGCTGATGGTGCTGATGGTGTCGCTGATGCAGCTGTTGTTTCTGATGCTTCTGCTGCTCTTGCTTCTGATGCTTCTCTTGCAGCTTCTGCTGCTGCAGGTGGTGCCACTGGTGATGATCCCGCAATCTGACACAAGTCAGTGTGCTGGGAGTGCTGGTGGAATTCCGATTGCAGATGAGCCACACGAGCCATGAATGCACGCCTGCATGCGAGCCATGGGGTGTGGTGAGAGGAGCACATTCACACACAAACGAGAAACAAGAAAGGGGAAAGGGAAGGGGTGGGGGGAGGGGGTGCTGTGAGGAGGTTCTTTAGAGGAAGGAGAAAGGGGGGGAGGGAGAAAGCGTTAGAGAAGGGAATGACTCACCCCAGCAGCCTCTGGCGCAGCCTCATGTGCCTCTCTTGCAGCGCTGCCACTGCCATGTGATGCACACATGCCATGATATAACGCACAGATGCCACGTGGATTATGCCACGATATAACGCACAGATGCCACGTGGATTATGCCACGATATAACGCACAGATGCCACGCGGATTATGCCATGCCAAGCATACGACACACGGGAGAGAGCGCAGGGTGGGGGAGTGTAATGGTTTGGCCAAGGTACACGAAGAGTAGACGGACTGAGAGGACAGCTTGTTGACGCGTACAGCCCTTCACCGTTGCCTTTTGAGACGTCTCATAAGTAACCGTTTGGCCAAGGTACAAGAAGTGTAGAAGGACTGAGAGGGCAGCTCGTTTGACGTGCACAGCCCTTCACCGTTGCTGCAGTGCAAGTTGAAGGAGAGTGAGAGGGTGCAGGTTTAACGAGTGTCAAGCTGACTCAAACGCAAGAGCCAGTGGAATGGAATGGAAGCAATGCAGCCACGGCTTCTACTGCCTCAGGCAGTACACGCAGTGCCATGCGTCAGTCCCCCCCCGTTCACTCACTCCGCATCTCCAGATCTTCTAAAGCGCCCGCCCCCACATCTTCCCCATCCACCTCCACCACCTCCTCCTCCCCATCCCCCTCTTCCCCCTCCCCTGCCCCCTGCATCCGCGCTTCCCACGCCTCTGCTGCTCCGCGCTTTTTCCTCCCCGCTATCCCGCTACCGACCAGGTGAAGCGGTCCCGCACAAGCTGGCTCTAGAGGCGCCTCAACCATCCTTAGGTGCTCCCCCCTCCTGTCGTCTGCTTGCAGAGGCCCCTCACGCGCCTCCAGGGCCGCTGCATGAGAGTTTGTAATATTGTGCGCGGCGTTAGTTGCCACCTCGTTATTAGCCAGCTGGCTGTTAGGAATTTCGCCCTCGGGCAGACCTCCTGTAACAGCAGCTGCCACGAACCTTCCTCGTGTTTTCTGGCGCCTTCCTGACCTAACGGCGGCGACCGCTAATCCGCCGCTAATTCCGCCGCCCGCTGCGGCGCCAGCGGCGCTGCTTACAGGATCTGCTGCTCCGATCACCGCGATTCCCGCCGCCATTCCAGCTGAAGGCGGATTTGGTGCTGCTTTTGCCGTCGTCATCCCGGACAATGGTGGCGTGGCGGCACCGCCAGTCGCGCCGCTCATCACGGCGACATGTGAGCTTCTGGCGGAGTGCGCGCGCGCGGCGGGCGCTAGGCGCGGCTTGGATCTAGCGGGAACGGCGCGCGGGCTGAGCGGCTCCTCGTCGTCGAACGCGACGCGCTTTAACTCGCGACCTCGGCTGCTACGCCTCGTAGCCTCCATCGTACTCGTTATGATCCGCTTCGATATAAGTGTCGCAATCGTTACATCGCTTACGTATAGCGGCTTGCCGTGGATTCAAGCCTCCTGCCCTGTCGCAGCAACAGCAGAACGACTTGACGCGTACGCGCTCCGACGTAATGGCGTGTCACATGTTCGGATGGTCATGGTCTATCTCAGTCACGGACCTCGGCTGCTGTGCCTCATAGCCTCCATTGTACTCGTTAGTAGCAGGTTGAGAATCTGGAATGGAAGAAGAGAGCACTTTTTGAAGAGGACTTTCTAGCACTGTGACACTACAAAAAACCCGGCTCACACTCCACTGCTCATTTGCGGAGCGTTTACCGTGGTTGAGTAGGTTTCCTCGCGTTCGGGAACGGTTCCGGGGCCTAACTGCTATGAATGAGTTGATCAGGGACATGTCAACCATTGCGCACCGAAGTTGTAAAAGAAAACTCTGTTCTCGACCTCACTCCTCAGACAACAATCCCAAACGTGCTTGTAAGTCTGCATCGCCGCGCCGCCAGAGATACAGCTTCCAAGCAGCAAGGAACTTCTTATTAGGGATTCGAGCTTGGTGGTTCTTATCAGTCCCCGACGAAAAGTTAGTAGACGCTGTCTTGCTCTGTTCGATTCGCGTTGGTCGACGCACGGTCAATGCGGCATGGAGATGGCGCGAGTTCGTGTAGAGCCGTATCAACCGTGGTGCGTGCTTCGATACACGTTGTCTCTCACCTTCCCTTACGGTAACAGTAGATTCTGGTTCAGATCCCATCGGCAGCTAGCTTGATTGTGAGGCGCTTCGGAGATGGTTTCGATTGCTCCAGCTGTTCCTCCTTGCGTTGCCGTGTCACGCGGACAAGGTTAGCATTTCCGGAAAGCGACTGCACGCGGAAGTCACGCGAAGGCCTTATCAATCTGGTGTCTGCAGACGATTGCATGACTATCGCAATGCAAGTCCTGAAGCTGTTGCTTGTCGTTCCTGGATGTTGCTGCTGTTCGAAAGAATTGCGCGCAGTTATTTTACGCTACTAGCGAATGAGTATGCTGGATTGGATTCTCAAACGCCTCGTTGATGGTATTTTCGCGGATTCTCAAACGCCTCGTTGATGGTATTTTCGCGGATTCTCAAACGCCTCGTTGATGGTATTTTCGCGGATTCTCAAACGCCTCGTTGATGGTATTTTCGCGGATTCTCAAACGCCTCGTTGATGGTATGAAGATACTGTCACGGTTGTTTTTCTGGTCAGCGGATTTGCAGAGCTTTTTCACCTTCCTTGTGCCAGGCGTCCCTCTATTCCTTGCGTTCAGCATCCCAACTGATGTTCCCTTGGGGGATTGTCGCAGACTCATCTTCCCCCTCACCTTCGCCTAGTCCGAATAACTCCCCTTCGCTAATTCGTTCAAAGCTAGTGGCATCGCAACGTATGCTCTTTATCGAATTGCCTGTTTCCCTTTCTTCGTCCTCAGGCGACCCATCATGCGACGTTGTGGCATTGACGGGGGAGTCTTGCTTGAAGCTTCGTGGGAGTGGCATGGGAGTCATGGGACCATCATGGGACGTGGTGGCATACGGCGGGGGAGTCGTGCTTGGAGCTGACACTCGGGTTACCATAGGTATTTTTTCTATCCTTGCAGGAAGCATCATCACTTCGCAATTATCTGGCTACGTGCATCAGCAACAGAGCGTAGGAGAAAATGACTGCCCTCACGGACTTCAGGATCTGTAATCGACTCAAATTCCTGCATCCTTCTTTGGGGAAAAGAGAATAATATTGCATTATGCTCTGCGCCTGTTCTGCATGTGAACTGGCCATTTGTGCATGACTTATGCATCGCTGAGCAATGTGACTTTGCTCACACGTGTCTGCTCTGCCCACATCATGTCACATGGATCACAGTACAACATCACATTATCACCGTCTCACATTATCACCGTCTCACATTATCACCGTCTCACATTATCACCGTCTCACATTATCACCGTCTCACATTATCACCGTCTCACATTATCACCGTCTCACATGATACGCCATCCATCCCACCCTAATGACACGAGGTGAGGATGGGTGGCTCATCGGGGTCAGCCATCTACAGATGTCAAGGCAAGGCGATGGTCAATGTCATGTCATCAACCAAATCACTCACAACATCAAGCTGATTCAACTGATCCCCAAAACCTATCAGCCACTTGATGTTGATATAACCACTATTCTCCCAGACATTTCACCGCCTCCCCTCCCTTTCCAACCCACGTTTCCCCTTCCTTTTTTTGAGCCTATCCTTCTTTCATGGTTTACGTTCTCTCGATGCCCTCCCAGTTCCATTGCCTTGCCTTGTCGTGCTGTGCTGTCAGCAACGATGACCGTGAGTGAGGTGGCATTGGCATGCTTGTTTCCTATTTTTACTGCGTCGTCCCTTTCTCTACCCTCATCCGTTCTCTAACCTCATCATTTCTCTACCCTCTTTCCCCCTGCGCGCTCATCCCCCCTGCGCGCTCATCCCCCCACTCCTCCCCCTTTCTTCCCCAGAGGGCGAACGAGGCGATGCAGGGCGAGCGGGGCGTTTGGTTCGAATGCGCGCAGGGAGGGGGAGAGGGCCAGCAAGCAAGTTCTGAGACGTCTCAAAGGCGATGCAGGGGAGAGGGCGAGCAAGCAGCACGACATAGCAGCCAGGTGTGATGCGATGCGGTGTGGAGCGGTTTGGTGCGGTGGGGTGTGCGTTGGGATGTGGTGGGATGTGATAAAGAAGGGCTACGTGTGAGAGGAGGCTGAGCTGAGAGAGGGGCAACGGAGAGGAGAGCATGGTTGGTGGAGTGCAGTGGGATGGGATGTGGTGGGATGAGAGGAGATGTGGTTGGATGAGAGGAGATGTGGTTGGATGAGAGGAGATGTGGTTGGTTGAGAGGAGATGGGGAACAAATCCTAAGGTGGGGGAGGGGAGTGTAGTTGGAGGTCCAAGGAGTGAGTTGTATCTCGTCCCCCTTTCCCCTCTCCTTCCGCCTTCCCTCCTTTCCCCCTTTGCCCGTCCCCCTTTGCCCTTCCTCCTTTGCTGTCCCCCTTTCTCTTTTCCCCCCTTTCCCCTTCCTCTTTTGTCCGTCCTCCTTTGCCCATCCCCCTTTGTCCGTCCCCCTTTGCCCATCCCCCTTTGCCCGTCCCCCTTTGCCCATCCCCCTTTGCCCATCCCCCTTTGCCCGTCCCTTTTTCCCTTCCTCTTTGCCCATCCCCTTTTGCCCATCCCCCTTTGCCCGTCCCCCTTTGCCCATCCCCCTTAGCCCGTCCCTTATTCCCTTCCTCTTTGCCCGTCCCCCTTTGCCCATCCCCCTTTGCCCGTCCCTTTTTGCCCTTCCCCTTTCACCCTTTCTCCTTTGCCCGTCCCCCTTTTGCTCCTCAAGCCCTCACCATCGGAGGGTCTGGCCCCTCGTGCCTCTTTGCCTTCTGTGATGTGGCCTTCAAGGAGGGGAGTGTTTTTTGTTGATGTGGGCGCAGCTCATGGGATGGAGGTGAGGCCACTCAGGGGTCTGGCTCCTCAGGGTCTGGCTCCTCAGGGTCTGGCTCCTCAGGGTCTGGCTCCTCAGGGTCTGGCTCCTCAGGGGTCTGGCTCCTCAGGGTCTGGCTCCTCAGGGTCTGGCTCCTCAGGGTCTGGCTCCTCAGGGTCTGGCTCCTCAGGGTCTGGCTCCTCAGGGTCTGGCTCCTCAGGGTCTGGCTCCTCAGGGTCTGGCTCCTCAGGGTCTGGCTCCTCAGGGTCTGGCTCCTCAGGGTCTGGCTCCTCAGGGTCTGGCTCCTCAGGGTCTGGCTCCTCAGGGTCTGGCTCCTCAGGGTCTGGCTCCTCAGGGTCTGGCTCCTCAGGGTCTGGCTCCTCAGGGTCTGGCTCCTCAGGGTCTGGCTCCTCAGGGTCTGGCTCCTCAGGGTCTGGCTCCTCAGGGTCTGGCTCCTCAGGGTCTGGCTCCTCAGGGTCTGGCTCCTCAGGGTCTGGCTCCTCAGGGTCTGGCTCCTCAGGGTCTGGCTCCTCAGGGTCTGGCTCCTCAGGGTCTGGCTCCTCAGGGTCTGGCTCCTCAGGGTCTGGCTCCTCAGGGTCTGGCTCCTCAGGGTCTGGCTCCTCAGGGTCTGGCTCCTCAGGGTCTGGCTCCTCAGGGTCTGGCTCCTCAGGGTCTGGCTCCTCAGGGTCTGGCTCCTCAGGGTCTGGCTCCTCAGGGTCTGTCGCCGCCATTCCGCCACACCTTTGCGCATCCATTCCCGCTCTTCCGACCGCGCGCCATACACCCTTCAATCACTCACTCCCGCCTGCAGCTGCCGCGTCGCCGTTACGCCTTGTACACCTTAGTACCGCGTCGCCGTTATCTCCGCATTTAATAGTCACCCATTCTTATCGCCGACACGACACAGCCCGGGGGGAGGGGGGAGCCCGGGCGGAAGATGAGGGTTGTTTGACTGACGAGGAGGAGGAGGAAGGGCATCGGCGCCGGGTGCGTTTGCGGAAGGAGCGGCGGCTGGGGCAGCCGTGGAACTCGGGGATTTCCCCCGCCGGCCAGCGCGCGTTCCGCCGCCTTCTATCGGCGCGGACGGGGAGCGGGGGAAGGCGGAATGGGTGCTCAGCGCATCTGCGGAAGCGGCGGCGGAGAGGAGGGGAGGGCGGGAAATTTTGGGAGAGTGGATCGGTGATCTGCGTCGTGAGCAGGAGCCGGCGGGTGATGGGCGCGTGGATGGTCCCGGATGCGATGAGGGCAGACGCACGCTGGAGCTCCGTGGAACGGGCGGGAAATTGACAGAGAAAGGGGAAGGGGAATCGGCGGGAGAGATATTTGCGAGTGATGTTATGACGATTTTGAAGGGCTTGGGGAACAAGTGGCGGTGGCGGGATGCGCTTGCGGTGTTTCACTGGGCTCGCGGGTGCGGAGAGATCGGCGGAAGCTGCGCGGAGGGGGAAGAGGCATGGCGTGAGTGCGGAAACCCGATGGTGTCGCTGGTGCTGCGCATACTGAGCCGATGCGACCGCCCGAATGTGAGTGTAACGAGGGGGGGCGTCATGATGTGACTGTAACGGAAGGATGCGGTCGGAAGCGCGCTGGGCGTATAAGCGTTTATTGCCATTATAGATCCGTTCTCGCTCGCCGTCCCCCTCCCCTCCGTAGATTCCCCGCTACCATTTCCCCCACTCCCCTCCACCCCTTCCACTACCCTTTCTGCGCACACCCCGCGCGGGAAACGGACGATCTTTTCCGCGCGCTCATGGCGGACGGATGCGCGCTCGACGGGCGCGCATACGCCGCGATGATGAGCGCGCTTTCACTCCTTATCTGCCCGTCGGCTCCCCCATCCCCGCACAGGAAGCGGATGATCTGCTGCGCATGCGCGCAAGCGCGGGTGTTTCCACCACATGGCATCGCTGCTGCAGGAGATCCGGACCGTTGGATTGATGCCCGATTAGTATGCGTATAATACGATGACAGAACAGCAGTAGCAGCGGTAACAGCTGGGATGAGGAGGCGGGGGATGTGCCTTGTGTTGCTGCTGGCGTGACAGAACAGAAGCAGCAGCGACAGGAACACTGACGGCAACAGCAGCAGCAACGGTAACAGCTGCTGCAACGGCTATAGCTAGGCCAGCAGCAGGAGCAGCAGGGCAGAAGCAGGAGCAGGATCAGTAGTGACACAGGAGGGAGGGAAGGGAGTGTTGATAACACAGAGTGCCTTACCACCAGCAGCAGTTTCAGCATCCCTGGCGCCAGAAGCAGCAGCAGCAGCAGAGGATAGCAGCAGTGACAGTAGGGATAGTGACTCTGCCCGACACAGTACCAGCCACTACACGACGAACGGCAGCTACAGTTCCAGCAGTGGCTGCAGCAGCTACAGTGTCAGCAGCCGCCAAGCAGGAGCGAATCTTCGCGGAAATCGGGGCGGCAGGGCTGAAACTGACACGTGTCACGTACAACACACTGCTGGACGTGTACGGGAAGGCAGGCCACGTGGCACTCGCCCATTCGGTGCTGAATATTTACGGAAAGAATAAGCTCTTTGCTCACGTGGCATGGGTTATGGATGAGCTGGCAACGAGCGGGATCAAGCCCGACTGGTGACGTGGAACACCCTGATTTGCTGCTACGGCCAGGCGCATGCTGCCGAAAGTCGAGGCTACAGTAGAGGCAACCGTGGAGATCCGGCTGCCGCCCGAATCGGTCAGCGCACTTACAACGGTCTGATCGACGCGTTTGGACGCTCGTTGATGGTGCGGATCGGCCGCTGACGAAGCAGCGGTGTTTGAGGCGATGAAGTGTGCCTGCCATGGGGTACCGACGTACCGTGGCTGCCTCGCGACCTTGCGAGCACGGCGACATACATCATAGAGCTCATTGCCCCCAGAGAGCTTGGGGATTGCAGCGAGGTCATGCGACTGGGTAACAGTCTGTAATACATACAGTTCACAACAGAGAACGTTACACATCCATGATACATTTGTATCAAAAGTTTCTACAGGCAAGTTCACTTCTATGTCTCCATTCGATACATTTTGCTTTCGCTAACTCTTAGTCAGGGCCCTAGGTATCAGACTTTTTACGCTGATTCAGCGTTAGATCAGACTTTTTTTTATACACTCCTCTGAAGTCGAAGTTTTTTTATATGTATGTTGGCTGATTTTCCATAGTATTTGTTTATGCCTTCTCTGTTTTTACAGCCTTAAAGTTTGAGTGTACTATCGGGGGTGCACTCTAAAACCGGGATTACGGAGATTCTGGCCGGCAAGGCGGTGTGTAGGTATAACACCGTCAATCACGGCTGGTAAATTGTATTTCCCTACCGCGGCACCGCTCTGTCGCGTTGGTACAGCAAAGATGCCATCAGCGACATTTCCAACCAATCGGGACTGTGCAGCAACCAGCGTTGGCAACATTCCTTGCCAACGCCTAGCTCGTAGCGCGCTGCACCACGCACGACACCAGAACCATTCACCCCACCCCACATGTGCTGCATACACGACCAGGTGACGTACATGCAGGGAGCAGTGAGGGTTTCATTTTGAGGAGGTCCTAAAAGGGGACTTCCTCAACTCACCCAGCGTGACCGTTCCAACAATTCCCTATGTTGCCTGGCTCTCCCTCAGATCTTTGCCATCCCCTGTTACTACTGCCTGATCCCTCGTGTCAGGCAGTTTCTCCCAACCTAGCAAAACACAGCTCGGCAGACTCAATGGCTGCCACGGACACTGCTGCGGACGAGCTGGACGGCGACGACGATGTAGGTCGTCGCCGTCTAGGCGACATGGCGACGGGCCTCGACTTTCTGAAGTCGTCCTTAGCTACGCCTTGTGCACCGCCAGCGGCACCGTCTCTGCCCAGCACGAGTCACGCTCCAGAATCTGTGCACCTGGATTCTCTGCCCGAAGCCGCCACAGAACAGGTGACAAACACGCCTCGGACGGAGCTACATGAGGTGTCCGACGAAACTCCATCCCGTCAAGCGCCACTACCGAAGTTGCGTTTACGGCAGGCAACCATTGCGTGGGGAACTCCACCACCTGCTTCGAGTGTTCATGCCCCTGTGGCAGAGGAATCACCCAATCAGGACAGCTCCAAACCCCGTCCCGAAAAAGTAGTGCTGAATTACGGAGAAGCGCACGACCGTTTCAAGTCGAGGTGGTGTACAGATTATCCATGGCTGATACTAACTATGACTGCTGCTGGTGCCCCCTCTTTTAAGTGCAGCATCTGCATGGAATTCGCGGGATTGGCAGGCAAATGTGGACGGCGTGGAGAAGGCGCTACCGATGTGCAGACGCAGGCCTTCAAGAAGCATGAGGGTACCTCGAAGCATCGGTTAGCATTGCAAAGGCAGGACGACCTGCTGCAGAAAGTGGAGGGACAACGCCGCATCGATCTACACCCCAAGGCGCAGGACAAGGAGATGGTGCAGATGTCGGCACTAGCGGAGTCGTTGTACTTCATGAGCAAGTGCAACGAGCCCATGGACTCATGGATCCGGCTCGTGCGCTACCTCGCGAAGAAAAAGGTGCCCGGGTTTCCGGAGAATGGTTACGGCACGTACTATAACACGTACGACTTTCATGTGTTTCGTCATTTTTCAAAACATTGCCCTCACATTTGCATTTTGTTTGTCGCTCACTCCCGTGGTGTTTTTTCTATTACAGGTACGGCTTTGGTAAGCTGACTCAAGCAATCGCGACTTGGCTCCAAACAACACAGCTGGAGCATCTTCTAACGAGTCCCTTCATCGGGATCACGCTGGATGAGAGCACCGATCGGCGACGTGGCAAACACATGATTGTGTTTACCACCTTCATCCGCGATGGCGCTGTCGTCACCGAGTTTCTCGCACATCTCACAGTTGAGAAGGCAGACGCCGCATCCATTTCAGGCCTCCTCCTTTCCCACCTCAGGGCTGTCAGCGTGGACCTCCGCCGAATATCGGGCATGAGCACAGACGGGGCGATGGTCATGGTGGGGCAGCATACAGGAGTGGTTGCACGCATCCGAATGCTCATCCCCAACCTCGTCTGGTTCCACTGCATCGCACACCGGTACGCCTGGCTCTACAATTTTAACATGTTTAAGGTAGTGTTATTATTTACCTATATAATCTTGTGTGTGTTGTGTTGCTTGCAGAGAAGCATTGGCTGCAAAAGCTGCAGCAGAGGAGATCCCCACCTTCAACATGGTCGACGACGTCATCCGCGCCATCGCGGAGTACCTTGGGCGTTCGGGTCCTTTGCACCAACGTTTCATGGAGCTCCAAGAGGTCTTCACATCCACGAACCTCGAGGTGCAAGGCATACACGAGGTTCGATGGCTGTCGCGGGGTGTTGCAGTGTCGCGCTTCGTCAAAGTCATGCCCGCCATTATTGTGATGCTGTCCGAGTGGAAGGACCAAACGATGTACGAGTTGGTAACTTTGTATCGTTTCCAGTTCCTTGTGAGGTTTCTAGTAGATGTGCTGGATCTGCTGGACGTCCTCTCCAAGGTTTTCCAGCATCGAGAGGTAAGTGACGGTTCATTTGTTTTCCTGATTATTGTTTTCCTTAAGTACTGGTAATAACAACCAGTGTGATTCGTGTGTGGCACCTCGACTACCCACTTGTGCACACGCAGATCGTGCGCACCTCTCTCATGGAGAGCCGTTACATCGACTGTGGCGATGATTTCGGCGGCGGCACCAGCGAGCATCTGTATCGGTTCATCGCCAAGCACGGGCCACAAGGGTTGCCGGAGATGGTGGTGGAAGGTGCCTCGTCGGACGGCAGCATGAACCGCTTCCGTTTCGACCTTCACGAGCGCAAAAACAAGGACTACCTTGGACCCGGCCATCATGACGCCTGTGTTGCACTCTCCACCGACATGGCCGAGCTGCTTGTCAACAATCTCCAGTCAAAGCTTGGTGACCTCGACTCGCTGGCTGGAGTGCGCCTCTTCATCCCGGACATGTGGCCACCGAACTGGGATCGGCAGGCTAGGCAGGCTCAGTGTCAGGAGTGGCTGTTGTCGCTCGCCACTCTGTTTCACGCCGACGACTCGCCCGAGATTCTGCCAGGTTAGTATCTGCTTGGTCATTCGATGAACACGTTTAACACTTGCCCTCTCGTATTAAACTAATACCCTCCCCATTGTTACTTATATCACAGGCATTGACAAAAAACGGGCGGTCAAAGAGTTGAGGACTCTTTGCCCGGTCTTGGCCAAAGCTCCAAAGATCGAGAGGAAGTTCCATTCGGGACTGGCAGCCATCCTCAAGACTCCCGATTGGCAGCAGGCATACCCCAACCTTGTCAACCTCTGGGTGGCGGTAGCAGTGTTGCCTCTCAGCAATGTTGAGTGTGAGAGAGGTTTCTCTAGACAGAACCTCATCAAAACGTGGCAAAGAGGCAGTATCAAGGACTGCAGGCTAAGTGATTTGTTGTGCATGTCATTACTAGACTACGAGCTAGATTTGCCAGGAGAAGTTAAAGTGTGGCGCAGCTACAAGAAGCGCCGTCCAGTCACAGCACCTGCTGCAAGACATAGGGACCCTCCAAGAGCTGACAAGGAGCATGTAGAGGAGGAGCCAGTAGCTGATCGTGCCCCTGTAGAACGTTATCAGTCAGACTCTGATTCAGATATGTGATGGTGAGGGTGTCAAAATTAGAAGGAAGAAAGAGGATTGAACTAGCAAGAATGAGGATACAAATAGCAAACCCTAGAAGGGTTATACTCGCTATAGAGCACCCCACTACAGGCTAGAACAATAAGATAATATTTTGACAGAGGGAATGTTTATAACAGAGAGTTTTACATTCCTGCATGATCAGTCAGAAATTTCAAGATAACTCTGTTTGTTCAGCCTTGGAAAGTTGTGTGTCTCTAAATCTCCAGCCTAAAATTTTGAAGCAACACTAACAG